TCTCTCAATTTTTTTTTTTTTTTTTTTTTTTTTTTTCAGAACCAGGGATTGAACTCAGGCCTTTGTGCTTGCCAGGGAAGTGCTTATGGATATATTCTTAGTTTTTCTGCAAAACTATGTCCTACTTTATGGTGCTGTTCAAAAACAAAGGCTTTCACTCTTCTAGGAACAATCACCTATTCATAGAAGCCTGAACTGTGGGCTATGTTACCTTTTTTAGAAAAGCTTTCTTTCTGGTCCTTGGTTGCTTTCTTTATTTTTTTGCGGGGAGGGCTGGCTCAGCCTGCTCTGGGAGCAAGGCTGTTGGTGTCCCTGCACTTTGCCTAAGCTTGCCTAAGCAGGTCCTTTAGAACCCTGAGCTATCTTACTCCTGAGCTATCTTACCTACCCCATGGTTGCTTTCTTTATCATTATATTCATCATCTAAATAGTTCTCATTTTTGCTTTATGCAATGTCACTTTTGTTACAATACTGCTTTTAAAGACCAAGCTTCTTATGTAAGTTACCAGCTTCTTGCTCTATTTTACTGTTTGCCTATTTTTAGGTTTCACATACCTAAACTTGAAATTTCCTTTCTTAAATGAGTTCACAGTCAGCCTACTGCTCAGGGTAGGTATTATTTTATGACTTCCTGTCTTTGGGTACATGCCTTACTTTAACGAGGGATGACAGTGGTCCTGTATCAGATGAGATCCACCCTCCATACCTTCAGTATTGTCACACAACATTGAATCTTGTGTTTTCTGTCTTTGACATGACAGTATTTTTGTGATGACATACATATGGTAAATCCAGCTGTATACTCATTTCCAACTTGTATGTACTAGGGAATATATTACCACCTTGTAAGTTGACAGTAATGGACTCCTAGTGCATGCATACATAGGGGCTAAAGAACAAATTATGCTTTCATTTTTGTTTCTTTGTCTTGAGTCTTTGAGGCAGAGTCTCACTATGCAATTCAGGCTGGCCTTGAACTCATTTTGTAGCTCAGGTTTGCTTTGAACTCCTAGGGATTCTCCTGCCTCAGCCTTTCAAATGCGAAGATTATAGGCATGCACCACCACACTCAGTTCAAAGAATGCTTTTGATTTACCTTCATAGTTAATAAGGTTTTACGTAGCTGGATTACCCATCAAATTTAAAGATAGTTTTTGATTTTCGTAGTCTTATGAAATAATACATAGAGTAGCAAGAAGCTTCTGTTTACTGGTTTATTCATTAAGCGAGGAAGTGCAAGATATGCATTCAGATTTTGATGTTCAGTAATGTCAATATTGTTTATCATGTGGCTTTTCATGACAGTAGGAAATAGCTCCTTATTCATAGCTCTTCTCATTAAGTGAGTGTTCAGTTTTCAAATATGTCCATCTTTGAAATTTTGTTTTTCATAACCTCTTCTAAGGAATACTAACATCTACAATATACTTAGAATACATATGGTAAACAAATTTGTTATTAACTTTGTCTTGTATCATGTTAGTTTCTC